TACTATATATATTCTGGTTGGTGGTTTCAGCCCCTCTGAAAAATATTAGTCAGTCAGTTGGGATGATTATTCCCAATATATGGAAAAATAATCCAAATGTTCCAAACCACCAACCAGATATATATAATATCAGTAGTTGCTGGATATTATGATAAGAATATTATATATATATATATAACTATTTGAATAATAATCCCAACTGACTGATATGTGTATATATATATGGCAGTGTGTCAAAACCCTGGTACCTAGTGAACCCCAAAATAGCTGGTAAATGGATGTTCATCCCACTAAAAATTGTATTTTCATAGGTATTGATCCATAGCCATAGCCATATATATATATAACTATTAGAATAATCATCCCAACAATAAATATAAATTATCATAATAACTATTAGTATATTAGATATTATATATATATAACTATTAGAACAAATAATCCTGACTAATATATATATTACTTTTATTTTGACGATTGATATTCCATTGATATTCCATTCATTTCATATTCCATTGTATGATCATTTCATAGTCCTTGCACTTAACCTATCACCAACTCAGCCAACGACGTCTTGGGCGCCGCACCTTGCTGCGTGCGTCCTCTTCCGCCTTCGGGCGGCGGGACCCAGCGGTGGCCGTCTCACCTGGCGATCTTCGTTGCGCTGGGTGGCGATTTGGGCCACACTATATGGGAAATATATGGGAAATATGTGGGAAATATGGTGATTCATGGAAAATTTATCGGAAATACATGGGAAATATGGTGATTTATGGGAAATATGTGGGCAATATATGGGAAATATATGGGAAATGGGAAGATGGTATGAAACTATGCTGATCTTATGGTGATTTATGGGAAATATATGGGAACTGCATGTTCACATCGACAAAATGGTGGGATATATGTTAAAACTCTAGTATTTGATGATTGGATGATTGGTTTAGAAAAGAAATGGGTTAATATCCATTGATAGGGGTTAATATATCTATGGTGATTAATAAGGGGAATAAATATGGATTACCCTCTGGTAAACATACAAAAAACTATGGAAAATCACCATCTTTAATGGGTAAATCAACGAACTAAATGGCCACGGCTTCAATAGCAAACTGTTAGTTTACCAGACGGGTAAGCCTAGTTATAAGCCTAGTTCTAAGTGGATTAAAGCTACTTTTTTTCCATTGAAAAAAACAGGGATATAACATGTTTTACCTGGATGGTTGGTGAATGCTACTTCCATGGCACAATTTTTTTTGGGACATTTCAGGGATGTTTTAATCCTCCAAAAAGTAACAGCTGGTGGATCTCATGACGGAAAAAATGAAGAATTTTCATGGTGTAATAATAATTAGTGATTTTATAGTTACCCTCCAGTAAATTAACAGTTCGACCCTGCCGGAAAGGGATTGAAAGACTTGAGGCCGGGGGTGGATGACGAAAGCTAGCGGGGTAGGAGAAAGAAGGAAGGGAAGAGGTGAGTTGCGGAGGGACTGTCATCATCGTGTCGCGGCATTGTTCGTCCCAACGAGGATGCAACAATGATATATGATATATGATATATAACAATGATATATAAGGGGGCTTTCGCGTGAAAAATCACGTGATGTCCTTGGGGAGCCCCGGAATACTTGATAAAGCAAGAAGACTCTAGCGAGCTGACGCTAGCTTTCGTGATAATGCCAGTAATTGCCAATAATGTTAAAATGTACATTGAATAATGATGATGATGATGACGATGACGATGACGATGACGATGATGATGACGATGATGATGATGACGATGATGATGACGATGATGATGATGATGATGGTGGTGGTGGTGGTGGGGGGAGGGAGGGGGGGTCCCCCCCTTTCGCGTGAAAAATCACGTGATGTCCTTGAGCAGCCCCTGGAATACTTGCTAAAGCAAGAAGACTCCAGCTAGCTGACGCTAGCTTTCGTGATAATGCCAATAATTGCCAATAATGTTAAAATGTACATTGAATAATGATGATGATGATGATGACGATGACGATGACGATGACGATGACGATGATGATGACGATGATGATGATGACGATGATGATGACGATGATGATGATGATGATGATGGTGTGGTGGTGGGGGGGGGGGGGGGGGGGGGGGGGTCCCCCCCTTTCGCGTGAAAAATCACGTGATGTCCTTGAGCAGCCCCTGGAATACTTGCTAAAGCAAGAAGACTCCAGCTAGCTGACGCTAGCTTTCGTGATTAGCTTCCACTAAAAATTGGTGATTTTCAGGGTCGAACTGTTAATTAGTTAGGATTTTTATAGTTATGGTTTCATTAGTGATTTTAATAGTTATGATTAATGATTGTGATAGTAATGATGCTGATATGAAAATTTAATAACTATGATCAAGAATGGTTGCATAAGGATTTTCATTGATTTTCATATTGAGATTCAGCAAAGGGGAATATCAAACTAGGGGAGAGTTGTCCATTGGGATATGACTGGAACTCTTTTCGGATATGATTCATTGATACCAGTAGGCTTGGTAGATCACACTAGGGAGACCACCTTCTGAAGGCTACCTTCGAATGGGATTGGAAGTAGATTGATTTCGACGTTGCCTACAAGAACACACTTCCATTGTACAATTTGTACACATATTTTTACACATTGGTACACATATCTAAATATCAAAAAGCTACTTCCAATCAATTGGTACACATTGATACACATTGGTACACATTGGCACACATATCTAAATATCATAAAGCTTAGACAAGAGAATGAAGTTGGGATTGCTTTTTACGATTTGAATCATAGTAACATTGAACTTAAAATGGTTTTAAATTATAGACTATAGAGAATAACATGAGATTTAAAAAAATGGTGTATCCAACAAACTTCATAATAACTTGATTATTTTTTGGATAATTGATGGTAATGGGATTTATATCATGGGATACGATAATTTCGGCAATAGCTTGGGATACTAATCCGGGATATACCTTGAACTTTAGCAGGAATATGTACAATGGGAATACTGATCGACCAATGGGAATAATAGTGATTTTTGCTAACGGTAATTTAACATAGCTATTGAACATGGCCATAGAAATAGTGGATTTACCCATTAACAATGGTTATTTTCCATAGTTTTTTGTATGTTTACCAGAGGGTAACCAACGGTTTTTTATCCCAAATCCCAATTAATCACAACGGGGATGTTTTTATCGGAAGACTAGATCTAGGTGGGACCTGAAAATGGAAGGGATTTGATTAGGCCATATAATGACTATTGCTACAACAGAAAATTACCAATGACTATTGCGATTTTAAACATGATATGTGGATAAACATTGTGGACTACAAAAACCAACCATGATCGGACTCAACAAACGAAGATTTTCACGTGTGTTGTTAGCACTTGATCAACAAAGATTCGTACAACATCGTACAACCAAAAACGAACAAAAGGAATCTTATAATTTCATAGGATATTCAATAGTTTTTCATAGGATGTATTATAATCTATGTAATAATATCCTATAATCTATGTACTGAATAAAACGTGTTTCATAGGAGATTCAATAAGTCTTGTAATTTCAGCTACATAGTGGGGAAAAATTATTCTGTTCGGATCTGAATGGATCTGAATGGCGTCTCCCATTGAACAACCGGCAAGTTCGATGTACCTCAATGGTTGCACTGACAACTGCAAAGTGGGGCCCCCTAGATAGCTAAGTTGGTTAATAACTCCAATAACTATCGTTTATGGTACTTATAACTATGGTTATTGAGGCTTATAAACCAACTTATAACTAGGGGGGCCCACATTGTGAGAACCCAGCGGTCATTTTCCAACGACTTGCTGAGAACCAATACTTGAAATCCGCCAGTGGCCAGAAATGCTGGTGCTGACTCTGCAAACATACCCTCTGGTAATCTGTTACACAGCTATTGAACATAGCCATAGAAATAGTTGATTTGCCCACTAAAAATGGTGATTTTCCATCGTTTTCTGTGAAAGTTTATCAGAGGGTAGTGCTTGACACTGTTGACACTCACGGGGATGATGATATCCCCGAGACTTCAACATAGCTATGGTAGCTATGACCTATCTATAGATGATTTCCCGTTCTTGAAAATGCTGATTTTCCATATAGCTATGTTGATTACCAGAGGTGACATTTAAAACAAAAAACATGTTCAACAACCTTAAAGCTGATTCAAATCAAGCAAATTCATGGTTCCAATTAAATTAACATAAATTAACCATGATTCACGGTGAAACAGTTTGAGGTCGCTAGAAATGATCCAGATATGACAGGGTCAGCACCAGCATTCCACAGACTGTTCGCCGACTGTACAGAAAACACTGACATCTGCGGAACGCCGCGTCATGTCAGTTATAAGGTGGTTGCCACGACTTGGAAGTCAAAAAAAATGGACCCCATGAACTATACCCTCTGGTAATTTAACATAGCTATTGAAAATGGTCCATATTTATAGTTGATTTACCTATTAAAGATGGTGATTATCCATAGCAAACTGTTAGTTCACCAGAGTGATTAATGAATTCTATGGTTAATAATGTGTGATAATGGTTAATAGTGGCTAATGATGATTAATAATGGATAATTACTGAGGTTTCGTGAGTCATGGGGGTACCCCCAAATCATGACCTAGTCATGGATGACCATGACTTAGTCTTGAGACCCATGGTGACAACCGACTGAAAAATTCCCCCAATGTTCATCGATCCAGAAACCATAGGAAAACCATAGGAAAACCATAGGAAAATGGTGGTTTAATGGGATGTAATGGGATTTAATGGGATTTAATGGGATATACCCAACCTGGCTATGACTAACAGTTCGCCATGGTATAGATGGCCCATAGAAATAGATGGTTTACCGTTCTTAAAAATGGTGATTTTCCATGGCTATGTTAAATAACCAGAGGGTATATCTACCCCAAAAAACCTCAATGAAATATGAGTGATGTTGACAGAAAGCTCCAAGTGACTCGTCAGGCGCGTGGCTGGAAACCACAACTTTGGCCAACTTTCACCGCTTCACCGTTGGGAATCGCGGACTGCTGGAGCTCTACCAAGAATTTCACATCTTCCTCGGCTAGAGATGCTAATTCAGGTTCGGGAAGAAAACTTGGTTGTCCAAAATGTTTTCATGGGATTTAGCCAACAAACCTGTAGAATGGCGTTTCAATGGGATGTTTGATTAAGATTATGATATGTGGGTTTGTCTGAAAATGGGGTGGCCCCATCCACCCCCATTTTCGGCCAATTTTCATGGGGATGATGATAGACCATCATCGAAAAGCTGCTTGCGAATTGGTTCTGGTTCTACTGGGGCTTCCCATGCTGGATAGGAATAAGTTCCATGAACAACCCAGGATTGAAGTCCCTATTACAATCAAGCTATTTCGGGGGGTTGGTCACTGCTCACAGATGATAAACAAGTCCCAGAAAGAGGTAGTTCCCGTGTCCCACGAACTACGGAACGCCGCAAAAAAATGACATGTTGAAAGAAAAAACGCACAAGTGGCTTATTATTTGAAGATTAACTCATAAGATGAAATATAGAAAATTAGTTAAATCTAAATCTCCAATTGACAATGATGCTGAATGATATTCTTAACTTCCAAAAAGTAACATTAACATCTGGCAATGATCATTCAGGACATCATTTGACTTCTAAAATATCATTAGCGTCTTTTGTATCATATATGTTGTAACCAAGTGTGGTCTCTTTGTGTGTGGGCATTTTTGGCAGTTGAGACTATATGGGAACTATATGGAATTTTATAGAAACTATATAGAAACTGCAAGCGGTAGAAGTGCTCAAGTAGGATATGAAGAGTCACTGGAATCGATTGGACAAGGAGGGGTGTTCAACGCCTCATGAATCTCGCTCCGCGGCTCTTTTCAGCCAATACTTCACGGAATAGGCATGTCAACGCCTATGAGTGCTGTGGTAAAACCAGCATGCCCCCCGCATCTTCTTTCTCCTTGTGAGATGGTGATGCTACCCCTTGAACATTTTCTCCAAAACCAAAACCAAGACAAAGAAAAACCAAACAAGACGAAAATCATTTCGTGGGTTTCCATGGTGTCTCCGGCTCGATTTCTGGCCCTTGACTCTTTCTGTTTTCAAGAGGCTCCAGGCCTAGCAGTTTCCTTTTCCGAGCTGACGCTCTTTCTTCATCTTCGACTATGCGCCACTTGTGGCCCATGCGGTAGAACAGGTGCAGTTGCTTGTGCTCGTTGCTCTTGGTCAGCCCGTTTGATAGCTGAGCTTCACTATGAACCCATCTAATCTCCACAGCATTGCGAATCTGGGCAGATTTCAAGGAGAGTAACTCCAGGTCTGTTCTCTTCTCAGCGCCCTTCACGGACAAGACCTCGGTCTCTAACTTGTCGTACACATTCCTGGAGTCAGTAACCAGGCATCCACTGATCTGGTTGACGACACTGTTGATGTCTCTCACATTGACTTGAGCTCCCATCATTTCTGCCAGTTGGAATCTCGCAAAAAAGAGGAGATCTTCTCCGTTGTTTGCTGCTGCTGCTTCTGCTGCTCCGGGGCTGCGGCAGATCCTGCCAATCTTCTGCGAATGCCAGGCGACAAAGGTGACTGGCTCACAACTGCCATGACGTAACCGGTGAGATGAAATTCCAACTATAATGCCTTGTGTGCTTGAGCCATCTACGCGGTTCTGAGAGGCGGCATCTACCCATGCAAACAGTGACAACATGTGTGGTTCTATGGCATGTACCTTCATGCAGTGTTCTTTCATATCTTTGACCTTATCAAGTCACCTGTTAGCCTTGTAAATGGTCTCTATAGTACTCTTGTTCACCTCTGACAACAGCAAGCCGACTTCAGCACTGAAGTGGGGCGCAACTTGTTGTGCGTGCCATGAGACCCCTCCCAGCAAGGCCCGAAGCTGTGTTTTCTCAGACTCCTCAGTGGGTGCATTTCGGTCTTTCTTTCTAAAGGCTCTCAGGTTAATATATTTCAAGTCTTCAACATACTTCGATTGTGACAACGAAAAAGAAAAATCTTCATGTTGTTCCACTTGAACTCCGCATTGGGTAAACCTTTTTTCTTCCCAATCTCCCCATTTATATTCCGTTTGGATACTCTTGAGAACAGTACACCAACCCTCATGCGTTTCATCCCCACTAAAAAGGAAATCATCAACATGACCAGAAATAATCCCTTTGGTAACCCCATCAACCACATAAACCCAGCAGCATGCGTCACTCCAGCATTTTTGCAATCCGAGTTTTGCAAAGAAATCTGAAATGGAACGATACCATTCCAGTGGCGCATCAACTAAGCCATAGCAGGCTTTCTTCACTTTGGTGATTGACTCTGCTGGGAGTCCCATCTTTTCACAGATCTCTGGGCATGGTATACAAAAAAGGTCATCAGGGTATGGCCTGCTTTGCAGGAAAGCACCTGTCACATCACCTTTTCGCATCTTGTGGCGATATGAAGCGGCTAATTGCATCTGCAGTTGCCTGGTCTAGCGAGTCGTGGTTGGAGAAGTCGTTGCTCTCTGTTCATAGCAGGGATCTTGGTATCCTAAAAGAACGGCTCTGGCTTTCGCCTTTCGGCTGCCATCCTCCTTCTGCTTCCATGTCAGAATCCAACGCATCTTCACTGCTTGTTCGCGTGCTGGGCGAAGTTTCTCTGGAAGGGCTTCAAAAGCCTTGGCAGCTATGAAGTTACTCACTTCCACGGCCTTTGCAGATCGGAACTGTTGTCGCTCTTCCTCAGATAGGTGACGCTCACAGACTTCAACTGCTGACCGTTTCTTCAAGCTACTGGCAAAGTAAGAAGGGAGATCTCGAAGAGCTCGTTCAGATCCAGCACGTGTGTCTGGCATGGGAACCTCCACGGCCACGGCCGCGGTCTCATCCATCCAGAAGGTGCACTCGGTGACTGCAAACACTTCCTGGATACTTGACTGGTTCCACCATGGTGGGGCAGCAGCCATGCCTTGTTGGGCACTCATTCGAGGCCTGTGTGACACGGGTGCTCCTGAAGATGTAGAAGGCGTAGGCCTGGAAGTTGGACTCCTGGATCGCCCTGTTGGCCTGGATGTTGGAGGAGCCGGTCCCATGCCACTCATCTCATCTACCATGGGGCCTCGTTTTCTTGCACATCTTCTCATTGGTTGCCATTCTTGGACTGGATCTTGAGCTCGTAGCCATTCTGCATAAGAGGGTACTTCGGTGGACACATCCAGAAACTCGTTCCCTCCAAGTTGTTGAGCTACTCTATCAAAGTCCCAGTCATCGTATTGTTTGGCATGTAGTTCTTCTAAGAGGACCTCCCGCTCGGAGGCTCGACGTAGTTGCTCTGGGGAGCACTTGAGAAGTCTTCTCCCTCTGACGCACCAAATTGAGCTGCCCTGCTTGTGGGTCCCGTCGGGAGAGCGATGTTGCTCCACCGCCAGGATGCGGGCTGGCCCCACAAACGAGCCACCTTTAATGGCTGCTTGGCCGCTCACTTGCTTTCTCCACACATACACTAGGTCTCCTGGCTCATAGTTGGTGACATCTCTGGGTTTTGAGTTCTTGGCTTTTTGGAGTCTCTGGCTTGCCGTCCATTCAAGGAAGGCCTTTTCCGCACTTTGCATTCGCTGGAGCTGGCGATCCATCTCGCCAGAGGCGTTCTCTACCAGCAGCTCTGGACATTCACTGGGGCCGCAAGGGAAAAGTCGCCCGGTGGCATCAGGCGCACGGCCAAGGGCATGTTGGATGGGCGAATAGCCTCGGATCAGTTCTCGGCTATTAAAGGTCCTAGTGGCTTCAGCCAAAGCTTCTGCTGCGGTGACTTCTGGGTCATCTTCAGCTATTTTGTTCATGAGAGTCTTGGTACCCTGAATAGCCTGTTCACAAATGCCCACCTTCCAGTGAGCTTCACCCGGAATAATGTCCAACATTATTTGGTGCCTATCACAGTATTCTTGAACCACATGACTCCTGAAGCTACCATCCGGATCAACCCTGAGTGGATTAGGAAAACCAAAATACTGAACCCAATGTTCCCCAAACGTTTCAACAAACTGAGTGGCAGTAAGGTGACTTCTTTTCCCCGTAAGAACAATTTTTCCAACACGAAAACGGCATCCCTCATCAACGAACATCAAAAATTGATAGGACTCCTTAGTTTGTGGGTGTTCCCAGTGCCCAATATCCCCTGACACAGACGCCCATTTTGGGGGGTGAGGCTCCAAGGTGGCTAAAGGCCGTGGCTTCGGTCTACCCCGTTCCTTACAAACTGAACACTCAAAACGTTCGGCTTCCCTGAGCACATCCTCTGACACTCCCCTGCGTCGCAGGGCTTGCACCAGGTGTCTGGTTGGCCCGTGGCCAGTGGCAGCATGTAAGAGGTACAGTCGTTTTCTTATTTCTTCAATAGTCAGACCCTGACCCCTTTGTTGGTTATCTTCCCCAACCAGAACTTCGTGGTTCCCCTTACTGTCACACGTCACATGATTGGTTCCCTTGATTCTTTCATGCTCATCATGAACACATGAACCGCAAACAAAACCATGTTGAGAATCATGAATGTGGTGACAAATGCAACTGATCCCATTACCAAAAGTTTCCCCAATTTGGTGGTCTCCCACAAACTCCCTTTTGAGGTCTTCATCTTCCGCTCCATGAATCAACGCATCACAGACCCTTCGGGCAAATTCGGGGGTGTAATAGGCAGTTTTGTTGGTAAGGGAACCCTCGCACTTCACATGTTTCTGGTGAGGCCCACAGCTACATGGCATGTTCATCCTTTTTGCCAACAAAGCATGAGTGGTCATGAGTTTCCAGCCTTTCGAAATTTGGTTTTTCTCATCATCAACAAGACCAACACGACAACCCCGTACCACAGCAAACCATGGATTGTGTTTCTTCACCAGTTCCTGCATCATTGGAAGCCTCCATGCCTGACATGATTGTGACCATTCCCAAGTGACATGTATACCATGCTGAATACAGTACGTATATATGACACTGCAACCGACATACTGTTTCATGGCAGCTTTGCGCTTCTCAGAAAGGGCCTCCTTCTGAGCTTCACTTCTCTGATTGATGTTTTGCATCACTGAAAAAGGTCCACAAACCGGAGAAAGCCAAACATGTTTTGGTTTATAATGGTCAATATCTTGAATGACTTTGTGAATCCCCTGGTTGGTTCCTAAATCATACTCATTGAAAAGTGAGCAGCGTCGGGCCGCACCCTCGTCACCTTTTTTTTGTTGCATGGTGCGAGACAGCACGCTGTCGGCCGAACATGCCACTTCCAGCAGCTCTATGCGCTGGTGTGATAGCAGGGCCTCAAAGGCATTCGAAATCAATCTGTCACTGCAATGGGACAAGTGTCTTACTTTTTGCTCAGGTAAGGCTTCCCATGAGCCCCTCCAGAGCTCACTGTCGACCTGCATTCCCGCCTGTGACAAATTAAAGTTTTCTACACTCCCAGCTGAAGCTACTGTGGGATCGGCACAAAAGAGCCTGTGGATGACTCTGTCATCTCGGAGACACTGGATGCTTCGACCTTCTTGTGAGGCCTCTCGGCTTTCAGATTGTCCACGTCCTCCTTGAGGGCGTGCATCATCTGCATCATCTGCATCATCATGTTCTCGGTCTTGCCATTCGAGCCGCTGGCCGGCGTCGATGTGTTCTTGTAGCCGCTGGAGGTCTGCTTGTAGGTCGGCATCGGATGCTGTGCCTCTGGGCTCTGGAGCCAATTGGCCAGACGGGCCAGGCGGTAGTCGCATTCCCCCTCGGTGGCGGTCTTCACGACCCAGCTGGCATACTGTGGGTGTTGGGCTAGAAGCTCGTGGTACTGCAGACTGCAGTGTTCCCCGAACCCCACAGGGTCCTCCGGAGAGGCGGCTGTGGTCTGGTAGATCTTCTTGGTGCCCAAGCGCTGCAGCTCCTGAATGGTCTCGGTGCCGCGGGTCTTCACCATGAGCTTGTTGTTCACGTAGTCCACAAGGTCGGACTTCTTCTTGCTGGCCTTGTTCAGTTCGATCATGGCATGGCGCATCGGTGGCCGTACCTTCCCTTTCTGAGTGACCATCCCGTTGGCTTCCTTGAGTTCCAAAAGGCGACTCTCGATCTCCATGATGCTCCACTGTTTTGGAGCTGTTTCGCCAAAGGTCATCAGGAGCTCTTCCACCAATTCCTTTCTGGTGGCACGAGGCATGGCTCTTGTTCACTGACTCGTTGGGGATCTCGTCTAGCTTGTGCTGGAGAGCTGCAGGAGGAGGTTGTTCTGGCTCTGTACACTGACTGCTGTCTGAGATTTTTCCAACATGTCCATGGAAACCCTGGGAAAGTTTTTCATCATCAACAACCACATGGTCATGAACAACACACCCAACATCATCATGAATGCTAGGATCACCAACCATGTTCAAGGGGTTGTGAAAAGTGCCTGAAACATCGCTACTGACCTTCCTTTCCATCTCAGGCGCACGGAAAGAAAGGAGTTGTCCCTACAGGAAAGCATTCAGGCTCGGCACTGGCTGTGCAGTGCTCCGAGCATCACTGTACCAATCCTGAGTCATGGGCAGCAGCTGATGGCCAGTGGCCGAACGTTCCATCTTGATGATCTTGGACGGGTTGATCTTGCGGAAGACGACCATGTCCTCAGAGAAGTCGATGATTGCTCCCAAGGCCCGTAAGGACTCAATGGAGAACAGCACAGGTCCTGCTCCCGCATCCAACGCATGTACTTGTACTTGTCCAGGTTTGCCATCAGCTTGAACCTCGAGTGAGGCTGTGGACACGCACTGGTTCTTTGATGAATTTCCAAAACCAAACGTAGGCTTGTTCTCCAAGTCAAGGTCGGCCAAACGAGAAGTCCCATGCTTGTACTTGTTGAGGGCAATGATCTTCTCGAGGGCCACCACGCTGCCAAGGGTCTTTGTAGCCCCTCCATCAACGACAGCCTTGCCTTGTTCGACGGCCATCTGAGTGGAGATAGGCCCTATGCTGTTGGTGTCGGCAACATCAAAGAAGGCCTCTGGGCAAGCATCGGAGAACCCAGCATCCAGGTAGTTCACCTCGTGGTCGTCCGGGACATAGGGCTCCACAATCTCATGGTCCTTGGTGATCTGGTCTTGTGCAAAACAGATGAAAGGTGCAGCCTGCTCTTCGGCTGAAGAGGCTGTCGTTGTTGCCATTGCCTTTGGACATGATGAAGTCTTGTGAGGACCACCACATCGGAAGCACTTTTGATCTGTGCCAGAAGCTACAGCCGAAGTGCTTCCAGAGGGCTTGAAGTTGGTGCGGTAGTACTTCCGGGACATCCTCACCTGATGTTGTTTCTGTCTGGCCTCTTTCAAGGTGCGACGCCCGCGCTCCATCATGGCTAGGGCTTCTTGAGCCACATCTTCAGCTTCACCCAGGAGTGCGAAGCCCTCGTCATTGAAGTTGCGGTGAGCCTGGGCAACCCAGGCAGTGTCATAGTCCTCAGACTCGGCCTCTTCATTCTCATCCACCCACCAGCTGGAGTGACGATTAGCTGCATCTCGACGACGCAGGTCCTCATCAGTCCACTGGCTGTGTAGCTCCTGTGCCACTCGGGTCATAGTGAAGTCGCCCTTCAGGGCTGCCACGATCATGTTGCGCTCGTTGGTGTCCAGGCCAGAATCAAACAGGAGGTACCAGCCCTGAACATACTCTGGTAGTAGTTCAGGGGCTTCCACATTCCAGTCGGCATTCTCGGAAGGTGTCCAAGAGGTACTCCACCAGTCATTTGACCACCAGTCCGGATAACTCCAGGAGTCTCCTGAAGGACCTGGACCAGTGGAGCTTCGCTCCTCAGTTGCATCCTCGGTGGCCTCAGCTTGATCATCAGGTCGAGCAAGCGCTTCCCGATCATCCTGAATCTCCTCAGCACTCAGGTTCTGACTGCCCTGGACGGCTATAGCCGCCGTAGCTCTTCTCCCACGCTGGCTTCTTTTTCTCATAGTGAGACATCACCCTGTGAAGTCCTTGCCTAGCTCTTGCATACAGTTCTTACTTTCTAGTGACGTACTCATTCATGGTCTCCCCCTTCTTGCGCCTGGACTGCCGGAAGTAACGGCTCAAATGATCCGTCAGTTCAGGCATCTGTGGAAGGCCCAAGTTTGACCTCAGGTACGTCAGAAGCCGCTGCACGCCTCCATTGAAGGAGAGCCATTCGGGATGCTTGCCCACAGTGAACCTGCGAGCAGTGCCCGTCAGCTCTGTGAGAAGCCTCGGGCCGCACAAGTAGCGCTTGTGCATTGCAATGGATTGCTCCCACAGCAAAGCGCTCTCTTCAAACTCCTGATATGTTCCGGCATCTCCATCCCAAATGGGAACTCCTTCTCGCGTCTTCTCTATCCTTTTCTGCTTCTCCGCCATGTTGTTCCTCCTATGGCTCTGGCAATAGGAGGCTGTAGGTCCCTGGTCTCACGCCCGCCCGTAGGCAGGCTCCGCTATCGTGCAAGCGGTAGAAGTGCTCAAGTAGGATATGAAGAGTCACTGGAATCGATTGGACAAGGAGGGGTGTTCAACGCCTCATGAATCTCGCTCCGCGGCTCTTTTCAGCCAATACTTCACGGAATAGGCATGTCAACGCCTATGAGTGCTGTGGTAAAACCAGCAGAAACTATATGGGGATTTCAGGGGGAAAATAGGCCACTTGTATTAAGAGATCATATTATAATCATGTTGTTTTCATAGTATGGTACGGGATGGTGATTATTGTGAAAGGTTACAAATCGTATAATTAAACATAGGCATAAAATCAAATTCACATTCATGATTCATGATTCATGACTGCAATACACACCCCGGAAAACAATGTGAAAAAACAATGAAAAAACAATATATATATATATATATATATATATGGTATTATCAATGTCACGAAAATGGTGTTTGTAGAAACGGTTTTGACGGTTTCCAACTGTATCATGATAGTACGATTTGGTATAGTCTGAAACGGTCTCGACGGTTTCATACTATAACATGTCGGGGCCTTTTTCAGAGACGGTCTCAGACGGTCTCAGACTATATCCGTTTTTTCGACCTTTTTGGGTGGTTTAGTGTGAAACGGTCGCGACGGTTTCTGACCCTAATGACTCTTACAGTAGGAAACGGTCTCGACGGTTTCAGCACACAGTCTTTTTGCTACCATGGGTCATCATATTTTTTGATGTTAAAATTTCAAAACATGATGTAAATCATAAAATCATGAGAAAGATGATATATATATAATATATTGTGAATATTTACAATCAAAATTCATACGGAATGCGTGATGGCATTTTGAAATTTCAGAATCCGGATTCAATGAGAAATGAGGATAGTGAAGCGTACATGATGAGGATGTTACATGAGCTAGAAAGAAGATTAATCAATTGAGGAATGACGATTTCATGAGGTTCTAGAATGAAGATTAAATGAGGGATGGGGATTTGGTGAGATTCCAGGCAAGAGAATTCAATGAGGGAGGATTCAATGAGGGACTAAGATTTGGTGAGAGAACGAGGATTGGTGAGGTTCCAGACTGAGGATTAAATGAAGAATCAGGATTTGGTGAGATTCCAAAATCAGGATTAAATGAGGAATGAGGATTTGGTGAGGTTCCGGAAGGAAGATTAAATGAGGAATGAGGATTGGGTGAAGTTCCAAACTGAGGATTAAGTGAGGATTAAAGGGGGAAACCAAAATATTATGCTTTCCAGTCTGCGACTCGCAGAAAATATCATAAAGCTAGGCTTTAAGGCTGAAGGAGAGCTGGAGACCGTCTCAGACCGTCTGAGACCGTCTCTGGGAGCCTCGTTTCAATAGAAATCAGAAAACATGTAACATACAGGAACCACAGGAATATAATGAAACTGCCATGATCTATGCTGAAACCCTGGGGCTGTGTAGAATCAGGGGGCTTGTGCAACTTGCTGGGTTTCATCGAAACCAAACCGCTCATCAGGGGCGGTGGGCTGGGCCAAGGTATCCCAGCGTTGACTGCCATGAAACAACACACACATATATATATATAAATATTGGCTGAAGGGTGAAGGTTTCCAGGGTCGAGATTTAGAATGTTGCTGAGTAAATATCTGCACATTCCAGATGGAAGTGATTTACATCTTGGCCCGAATGCGATACCCCATCTCATGTGTCCAGAAACTCGTTTATTTTTCACAAACCCCGAAATTGACATGAACCTATGAATGGACTTGAATCAACATAAGCACTGAACACACATCATACAGTCGCGCAAGGCCAACAAAATGCAACATCAGGCAATCCCAAAGAACAACATTTAATAAACAATAGAATCATGCGTCATATCATTTCATCGTATCAAAGAATCATATATCATAGACTATGGACCATAGATCACAAATCACATCAAAGACTGTTATATATAACTATATAGTTATAGTCGTAGTTATAATAATAGTCATAGTTATCTATAGTCTTTAAACTCTAACCTATCTTTAACATTGATACGACTGACTCATTTGTCACACGATTATGATATGATATAACATGAAAAATATGATATGATTCATGATATGATATATGGCCCTGATATGGCATATGACATGTGACATGACACGACATGTCAAATATCACTTATCACACCTCAACCGACAGAAGCAGGTTGGCTTTATGTGTCTGTGGACCAAATAATAGTGTGTCATGACACTATGTGATGATGTATATGTGGCTTCAATTTGTTTTACGCCCCATTGATTTTCCGAATAGGCTTTTGATATTCAGAAGGAGATGAATGAAACAAAATTCAATGGCCCGAAGGCTAGACTTGGAAGACCGTTTCTTTTTCAATAATTATGTTATTTATTTACTGAATATATTATTCAAATATTGTTTGATAAACTGTGTGACAAGTGACATGTGAGTATCCAGACAACATTGGCCGCAAGATTTTTCACAATATAGTTTCTGAAATTTCAATATAGTTTCTATATAGTTTCAGCTGATATCATTTTAGGTTCTGAAATTCCAAAGTGTATACGTCACAAACTAGCTGATAAAGAGGCCAGACCGGGCCCTAACATATATGTTGTTATTCTCCCCTAAGTCCCTAAGGCTGACCGTCACATTTCCGTCAGAGTTTCTGCGCAGTAGGGAAGCTCAGTCGGTCGTTTCCTCGGGATCAAAGGAATATCAGTGCATACTTAGTGGTTCATCCCACTTAGTAAGTGATTCATATGTGGATTCACCACTAAGTAGGTTAATTGGGGTGATAACTACTGGATATAATTGGGGTGATAACTACCATTTTGAGTTTCAGTCATGTTCAATCGTTCTCAGTTATCGCTTGGTATCCATTTTTCCATCAAAAACTCATCCCACGTGCGCCCCCAGAGAGGTCTCAAACGTGGCCGCGCCAAGGAAATCCCCAGGCCCTACATGGGCATTCAAATGGGAAAACTGGTAGGAATGAATGGATAGTGATTAGTGAATCTTTAGAATGGCTGGTTGGTGGTATATAAGTGGCTTAACTCTGGTTTATGGTAGATATAACTATAGTTAATGAGAATTATAATGACTACCAATGACTTATCTGGTTGGTGGTTTTGAGCCCTACCCCTCTGAAAAATATGAGTTCGTCAGTTGGGGTTACTATTCCCAATATATGGAAAAATGGTTCAAGCCATGTTCCAAACCACCAACCAGAAACGTTTACCCCAGGGTGTTGTTTGATGTAAAAACCCATTGGTCTCCCTAGACCTTTCAGTCTTCCCAACAACACCAATCCGTTGATTAAACCAACCGATGGGTCGTTGAGATCTTACCCTCTGGTAATTGAACGCTTTGCTATTGAACACCTGTCCATTTGTGGATGATTTGCTGATATTCACCAATTAAACATGCTGATTGTCCATATCTGGGTAAATTATAATATTTGAATATTTCGGCCATTTGGAATGATTTCCCTGAAATAAACCATGATTTCCAGTGAGGGAGGACAGTGAGGTCGTGATGAAATTTACTCAGCCATATCTATGTTCAATAAATCAATCGTATTGCCGGTTCCTCATCAAAAAGTGTTGTTTGAATGCGCCGTTGCTGATTGCATCCATGGCGCATATCCCGCTGACCCGAATATTTGAAGGTGAATAGCTCATGATGTATGTGTTTCATTGGCACAATGTGAGGCCCCCAAGATATAAGTTGGTTTATAAGCCCCAGTAACTATAGTTATAAATACCATAAACCATAGTTATTGGAGTTATGTTCACCAACTGAACGCTATCGACTGGGGGCCTCACATTGCAGGGTACCAGCTATTTTGATGTTCACCAGAGTGCCAGGCTTTGATTTTTGAACACCAGGATGGATCCCGAGGTCCTTGGAACTCTAAACCATGGATGATCATGTTCTAGGAGAAACCATAAAAAAAAACTCCACATCTAAACCTGGTTGGTGGTTTTTCGCCCTACCCCAGTGATTCATAGTGGTTTATAGATCTTTATAGTGGTTTATAAGTGGTTTATAGTGGCTGAAAATGGTTAACTGGTTGGTGGTTTTTCGCCCTACCCCAGTGATTTATAGTGGTTTATAGATCTTTATAGTGGTTTATAGATCTTTATAGTGGTTTATAAGTGGTTTATAGTGGTTGAAAATGGTTAACTGGTTGGTGGTTTTTCGCCCTACCCCAGTGATTTATAGTGGTTTATAGATCTTTATAGTGGTTTGTAAGTGGTTTATAGTGGTTGAAAATGGTTAACTGGTTGGTGGTTTTTCGCCCTACCCCAGTGATTTATAGTGGTTTATAGATCTTTATAGTTGTTTATAAGTGGTTTATAGTGGTTGAAAATGGTTAACTGGTTGATGGTTTTTCGCCCTACCCCAGTGATTTATAGTGGTTTATAGATCTTTCTAGTGGTTTATAAGTGGTTTATAGTGGTTGAAAATGGTTAACTGGTTGGTGGTTTTTTGCCCTGTCCCAGTGATTTATAGTGGTTTATAGATCTTTATAGTGGTTTATAAGTGGTTTATAGTGGTTGAAAATGGTTAACTGGTTGGTGGTTTTTCGCCCTACCCCAGTGATTTATAGTGGTTTATAGATCTTTATAGTGGTTTATAAGTGGTTTATAGTGGTTGAAAATGGTTAACTGGTTGGTGGTTTTTCGCCCTACCCCAGTGATTTATAGTGGTTTATAGATCTTTATAGTGGTTTATAAGTGGTTTATAGTGGTTGAAAATGGTTAACTGGTTGGTGGTTTTTCGCCCTACCCCAGTGATTTATAGTGGTTTATAGATCTTTATAGTGGTTTATAAGTGGTTTATAGTGGTTGAAAATGGTTAACTGGTTGGTGGTTTTTCGCCCTACCCCAGTGATTTATAGTGGTTTATAGATCTTTATAGTGGTTTATAAGTGGTTTATAGTGGTTGAAAATGGTTAACTGGTTGGTGGTTTTTCGCCCTACCCCAGTGATTTATAGTGGTTTATAGATCTTTATAGTGGTTTATAAGTGGTTTATAGTGGTTGAAAATGGTTAACTGGTTGATGGTTTTTCGCCCTACCCCAGTGATTTATAGTGGTTTATAGATCTTTCTAGTGGTTTATAAGTGGTTTATAGTGGTTGAAAATGGTTAACTGGTTGGTGGTTTTTCGCCCTACCCCAGTGATTTATAGTGGTTTATAGATCTTTATAGTGGTTTATAAGTGGTTTATAGTGGTTGAAAATGGTTAACTGGTTGGTGGTTTTTCGCCCTACCCCAGTGATTTATAGTGGTTTATAGATCTTTATAGTGGTTTATAAGTGGTTTATAGTGGTTGAAAATGGTTAACTGGTTGATGGTTTTTCGCCCTACCCCAGTGATTTATAGTGGTTTATAGATCTTTATAGTGGTTTATAAGTGGTTTATAGTGGTTGAAAATGGTTAACTGGTTGGTGGTTTTGAGCCCTACCCATCTGAAAAATGATGGAGTGAAAGTCAGTTGGGGTTACGACATTCCCAATATATGGAAGGTCATAAAAACCATGTTCCAAACCACCAACCAGAAACGTTTACCCCAGGGCGTTTTCTGATGTAAAAACCCATTGGTCTCCCTAGACCTTTCAGTGTTCCCAACACGAATCCGTTGATTAAACCGATGAGTCATTGAGATCTTACCCTCTGGTAATTGAACGCTTTGCTATTGAACACTGTTTATTTGTGGATGATTTGCTGATATTCACCGATTCAATGGTAACTTCAGGATCCTAAAATGGAGGTACTGTACCATATAAGGCTATATTTTGTGGGGATACTCCCTTACATAGGCCTTACATAGGCCTTATATATGGTAGGTACCTCCAATTTAGGTTCCTGAAATGAACATTGACCAATTAAACATGCTGATTTTCCATTGCTATGTTAAATAAATCAATCATATTGCCAGTTCCTCATCAAAAAGTGTTGTTTGAATGCGTCATGGTTGCTGATTGCATCCCAGCATATCCCGCTAGGGACCCGAATATTTGAAGGTGAATAGCTCATGATGTATGTGTTTCTCGCGATATAGGATGGTCGATCTTAATGTTCCTTTAAAATTTGGCCATGTGGGGGTATCCCACTCATGTTTTGTATCATATTGTTGGTTATGTCACGTTTTGATGTTTTGTCCCATCATATATACTGGTTGGTGGTTCAACCCCTCTGAAAAATAATGAAAAATATTAGTCAATGGGAAGGATGACATCCCATATATTATGGAAAAATAAAAAATGTTCCAAACCACCAACCAGGTTTCTGATGATTTTTTTCTTTCGGGTCTCAAATGAGCAGTGTGAACCAAAATCCCTCTATCATTCCATTTAATCCTGGCTGGTTAAAATCGGGATTTCATTGCATTAAATCCTGGCTGGTTAAAATCAGGATTCCCCGTTCTTGGATTATTTAATAATCCCCAATATATGAAGGGTAGATGTTCATCCCCGAACGAATCATCGACCAAAAGGGGGTTAGCATCGCAGCTACTGCTCATTTTTGTCCAGCTACCACGGAGCTAATAGCTGAGTGGCAGGAATGCAAAGCACTCCCGGAACTGCTTGGGCGAAAAGTTTCGGATGGGGTCGAAGTGCGCGCTCACTGCACGCTGAAAATTCCAGGAAGCGATTCTCTCCTGAGATGCGGCAAAAAGAGATTTTGAAGGGCCCCCAAAAGATAGCGAACTCAGTTGCCTTATTAAAAAGTGGCTGAATAAACTATGGTTTATGGTAGATATAACGAACTAGTTAATGGGGATTATAATGGTTAATAATGATGGTTAATGATGGTTGATGATGGTTGATGATGGTTAATGATGGTTAATGATGGTTAATGATGGTTAATGATGGTTAATGGTAGATATTTCACAAACTAGATAACTAGATGCTAATGATCTTCAGATCTGAATCTGTTCCCCGTCTCTGTGTCATCAAACATGGCCGCTGGGAAATCCCTGAACTATGGAGGTTTAGATCCCTGGGAAGCCCATCAAAATTCATCAAATGGGGGGGATTTACCAGTTACCCTCTGGTTATGTCAAAATAGCTGATTTAACATTAGTAAAACCTCTATGTTTAGTGGTATTTTACCACCATTTTTATTGGTAAAATGGGCTACCCTCTGGTAATTTGTTACATAGCTATTGAAGCCATGGCCATAGAAATAGTGGATTTTCCCATTAAAAATGGGTGGATTTTCCATAGCTATGTTAGTTTACCAGAGGGTAGTCATAATTACCCATCGTGAAAAAAGACGTCGGTTCTCTGAAAATAGGAACCCAAAAAAGAACCACTAGTTGATCATCCGGTTACCTACTATCTCAATAGCCATATCTTGGTGCTAAATTCCCATTTTCAATTGCTCGCCATAAAGAAGATTGTTGGTTAGTTGTATCCCATAGCATATTTCAGAAAATTATTTTGTTGCTAAATTGTTGGTTGTGTCCTGACTGTTGTTGGTTACATCACATAAATCTGACATTGACATATTGACATAAGATCCAAGTGTCCGACTCGGGAAAAAGAGAATCGAAAAACATGCCAGAGCTGACGAGCATTTGACCCATTTATCTCAGTTATCCCCAACGTTTCATAAGATGAACAGCTTTAAAAATCCGGTGTAGCTCACACCATCCGGCGGAAAAAAAAAACTATTAGTCTATGCAAAAGTTACCATCTGGTTATTTAACATAGCCATGGAAAATGGCCCATAGAAATAGATGGTTTACCGTTCTTAAAAATGGTGATTTCTATGGCTACGTTAAATAACCAGAGGGTATATGCTACAGGCCCCAAAATATTTTAGGAAATGACCCCCCAACATGGGAGGTCCCCCAACATGGGAGGTTAACCAAAGTCGGAAAAAAAAAAACATGGAGATCAAAGGCCATGTCCAGTGATTGGAGCCCACCAGATTTGAGCAACGGTCGTAGGGAAAACACTGAGGATGTCAGCAACTTCAGATACCCTCTGGTTATGGAATATATATGGAAAATATGGTGATTTATTGGCAAAATATGGGAAATATGGTGATTTACGGTAGATACCCTCTGGTAATTTAATGTAATTAATGGAAATGATCATTTAGTTCGTTGATTTACCATGATTTACCTATCAAAAATTGTGATTTTCCATAGCTATGTCATCACCTATGTTAATTTACCAGAGGGTCGAGACTATGGTGTGCACCTGGGATGTGACGAAGAGAAATGGGAATGTTAGCCAGCAACAATTGGTAGACATCAAGCGTCACCCCTGGCCAAAGATTCGAGTTAGTCACTTAAGGCGTAAGGTCATCATCATCATCATCATCATCATCATCGTAGGAGGGATGGGAAACCAGCAACAACCTAAACAGCCATGATCAGTGGGTGATATGGGGATACACCATACCCATCCATCCACAGTTCAACCCTAAGAATCACTTCAGAATGGCAGGGTCGAGCTGGGAATTTTCTGCATCGCAGCGGATGATTGAAGCAGAGATTACAGAGTTCTTCAGTCTTTTCAGCTGCTCAATGTTGCGTAGGTATGTAATATGTACATTACATATATAATATCATAATCACAATGGAATTTGATTAATGGATAATCAAAATCGAATAATGGACAATTCCATGTATGTTCTGATGATTTGATGACTTTGATGTGTTTTGATGTTTTTGATGCATACTATGTATGCATGTATATACATATACATATACATATACAGATACATATATATATGGATAAATTACAATATTTCACTTCCCTGTAACAAGGACATTTGGGGATAGTCACCCCCACTAACCATCACTCCAGTGACGCCGCGATATGAGGACGTTATAAGTTATACAGATGTCTCTATATTATGTGTGTAATATATATATATATACATACACTACATAGGTTTAGATTATGTAGTGTACCTCCTACTAATAATAGGCCTTGGGCCATGTAGTATTTTTGAAGGAGGCCTAACCATCAACCAAAAAGTGGTTTCGGCTGGGGGGATTTGGGACGTTGCTACAAATCAAAAATTGGTTTGTCTGAAGAAAAAGGGTTCAGGGTTCTCCAACATCCAATGGTTGAGGATCATGTCACACATTAAATTGGTACTTTTGGGGTATAAGAATTTGGTGATATCAAAAAAAACATACTATAACAAACAAAATTGGTAAACCAAAAGTATGGATAATGTGTTATAATTTGCCCTCTGGTAAACTAACATAACTGTGGAAAATCACCATGTTTAATAGGTAAATCAACGAACTAAATGGACCATTGTCAATAGCAAATTGTTAAATTACCAGCGGGTATCTCCCGTAAATCACCATATTTCCCATATGTTTCCTATAAATCACCATATTTTCCATATATTTCCCATAAATCACCATATTTTCCATATATTAGCATATAACCAACTTAAACATATTATAACATGCAGCAAGCCATCAAGTTGCAGACGACCTTGGCTTCACAGGAAAAAAATTTCCGCCTTCTCATTCGCGAAGTTGAGGTATAAGAAGGGAATCAGATTCACTTATATATTCACTTATCTGATTCTATAGTTTACTTATCTGATTCTCTTCACTATATTCACTTATATATTCACTTACTGTATCTTATAGTTATATTCTCTTATCTGAAGGTACAGGTACCATATAGTTTATCACCATATAATATTGGAATATTCCTTTTCTTATGAATTTAAATATAAATATGTCATAAGAAAGGGAATATAAGTCAATATCACTCAATATAACTCATTATAAACCCATTTAAACTAATTATTCTTACTGGTGCTTAGTAGGGAATGGATGGGAATGGCGGTTGCTGGGATGATTATTACTAGTGATTCTGGATCATTCCCTCATTCTCTATGTTTAGCACCAGTAAGTAAACCATTTAAACTAATTCTAAACCAATATCTGATAAGTCAATATAAACCAATCTCTGATATTTGATGTACTATAGTTTTATATCTACTATTTTATGTACTAACCAATATAAACCAACCTTTTTCCCCGGTCCAACTGCGTTTTTTTCGGCCCAGGTGTCCACGTATGCCAAGGTCTTCTCGGGTTGTTGCTTCAGGATGAGTTCCTGCGACGGTGACCACAAAGGTCATCGAAATGGGATGTTCTCTGGGAATTTCCACCGAAAATCATGGGATATGATGTGTATACTAGGATTTAATCTACTAAATAATAGGAATTCATCAAATCGGAATTTTACATGGAATTAATAGGACTTAATACATGTATTTAATCAAATACAATAGTCCAAATCAAATTTTAATCTATTAAAAATCCCATGTATACTGGGAATTCCATCGAAAATCAATAATAGGAATTAATAGGATTTAATATTGTGTGTACTAGGAATTAATAGGATTAAGTCCATTCCATTATGATCATGGGAATATCATGGGAATATTTAATGGCAATATCATGGGAATATATGGACTAAATATAGGAAAAATATATACTAGGTCCTGGTGAGTTAGGATTTAGCTGTTCCAGACAGTTGGGTTATCCCTGGGGCGGGCTCCTAACTCTTGTCCTGCCGAGGCTCAAGTTGTATTTTTTTAATGGTTCCAGCAGAGATGTGATAGGAGTCACGTACGCCTCTAGGTCCTATCTCATGTTTTTTCCTAACATCCACAAAGAGCCTCAAGTCACGCATCATGCGAACTTCAAAAGCAGGGAACGCCATGATAGAGCAGACTACATGAGTTAGGAAAAGAACTTGAAATTAACTTCCTTAGTTCCTATCTCTAATTGCACAAGCCTAGATTTTTTTCTAGCAAACCTTGCGCAAGGACACATGAGTTAGGACAAACTCTTGAAATTGATCAGGCTGCTTCCTATCTCATGTGCATCAGTAATACTCACCGAGTTTTGTAATGACTGCCTCAAACACCTAGCCTTGAGCTCCATAAGTCCTAACTCATCTGCCTCCTCTCTCTCTCTCTCTCTACCATCTCTTTTCCCGCTTTCTTCGCGGTTGGTGGAAGTGTTTAAGGCGATCCAATATAGAAGCAGCCCAGCAGGGTATAGGCTTAACCTTGAGCTCCATGAGTCCTAACTCATCTGCCTCTTCTCTCTCTCTCTCTCTCTCTCTCCCTCTCTCTCTTCTCTATACCCTCTTTTTCCCTGCTTTCTTCGGGGTTGGTGCAAGTGTTTAAGGCAGCCCAAAAAAGAAGCAACCCAGCGGGGTATAGGCTTAGCCTTGAGCTCCATAAGTCCTAACTCATCTGCTTCTTCTGTCTCTCTCTCTCTCTCTCTCTATACCATGTCTTTTCCCGCTTTCTTCGGGGTTGGTGCAAGTGTTGAAGGCCAGCGGGGTATAAGCTTAGCCTTGAGCTCCATAAGTCCTAACTCATCTGCCTCTCCTCTCTTTCTCTCTCTCTCTCTCTCTTTCTCTCTCTCTCTCTCTCTATCTCTCTCTTCTCTATACCCTCTTTTCTCCCGCTTTCTTCGGTGTTGGTGCAAGTGTTTAAGGCAGCCCAAAAAAGA